GAATTAGCAAGGAGAGAGACATTGCTAAGAGCTACAAAGGACAGAAAGTTGTGGAGAACCATGAACGAACATGGTACATAGAAGTCATCAGTTTTTGCAGCAATTTTCTAAGACCCCTTGCATCGTCTCTCTGACTACCAGTGTCAGATTTGAGTTCAAATAAATGTTAATATTTTGAGTGTGATAGAACACACATTCTTTCAACCAAGCATTCCTCTCCTTCCAGCTGTGCTAAGGCAACATCAGTAAGCAGTTTCTATGGTTCATTTTCACTGGTTAGTCAGAAAAAACACATTTTTCTGGATGGTAATATTATCTTGGATATATCTTTTTATTACTGGATAAAGTGTTGTCAAGCATTATTAATTTTAATTAGGATTTCTTGCATAATAATTTCAAGATGATGTTACTACCAATAATAAGAGTATATACAGAAAAAAAAAAAAAATCTTCAAATATGACAGTGCCATGTTTTCAGTAAAAATAAGTGTAAGATTATGTATGATCTGCATTGTGGCTCTTACAGTTTGGGCAGTAGGGCAACTGTTATATAAAGGGTTGCAGGACAACTCAACACTGCTGACTGAGTGATGGGTCGACTCACAACTGAGTAACTCAGCACCAGAAAAACATAACTTTTTTATAACCAAATGAGAGTAATTTATTAAGGATTAAAACCTTTATTAGAGAACATTTTTAGTCACCTTTAATAGAGTAAATCGTAAAGAATATTTTAGGATGTCGATTTATTTTACCCCCCAAAATAAATTATATAACAATTTACAGTTTAAAAAATAATTAAAAGCAAAAAATTGGTTCATATTTTACATAATGCCTTTTCAAATGCCTCAAGTACATTATTTACATTATTCGGACCTTGTCCTCAACTTTGTTGCCATATTTATTACAATGTTTTGGCCCTTGTACGCTCTGGCCTTCTTCAGCTGGTTGGAATGTTGAACTGAACCATTTATTTCGCTCATTAGGGTAGACTGTTCTAGTTCCACATGCCATGTTTAATGGATGTCAGTTATCTCCTGTTAATTTCCCTCTAAACGTTCTCCACTGCCTTGACCGGGTATTGAACTCACACTCTTTGGGTCTTGTCACAAGATCTAACCAATGCCTCTTCACCTGAAGAAGACTGGAGTGTACAACGGCCGAAATGTAATAAATATGGCGACAAAGATGAGGACAATAGTCCAAATAATGTACATAATACCTCATCTCAGAAATATAGACAGTCACTAATTAAGGTTTTAATCCTTAATAAATTACTTTCATGTAAAATTTCATTTATAAATTATTTTTTATATAAAAAAAATTGTTTTTCTGGTCCTGAGTTATCCTGGTTCTCAGTCAGTGGTGTTGAGTTGTCCATTCCCAATACAAAGACAAGTTTCTGGAGACAAAAAGAGGGCAAGTTTGAATCTCATAAAAAGTTTTTTTTATTTTTGAGCATATACTGTTGACTAACAGCCATAAAATGAGGGTCTGAATGGTTGCAATGAAATGCAATACTAGCTCCAAATTAATATGAAATCAGGTTCCAGATAAAACTTATTATAAAAAAAAAAATGTTCTGTATGAAGAATTAGGGAGCTTTGTGATTTCAATTTGAAATAAAACTTTTTACTTGGAATTTATTTGGTTTTATTTATTTTCTTTTGAGACCCACTTTTGTTCCCTCATAAATGTCAGCAGTTGATCAGTTTTATTTGAATTTTATTTCTGCTCCCCTTTTCACTCTCTCTCGTCATTTCTGCTCCCCTTTTCACTCTCTCTCATCATTTCTGCTCCCTTTTCCTCTCTCTCGTCATTTCTGCTCCCCTTTTCACTCTCTCTCGTCATTTCTGCTCCCCTTTTCACTCTCTCTCGTCATTTCTGCTCCCCTTTTCACTCTCTCTCTCGCCATTTCTGCTCCCCTTTTCACTCTCTCTCTCTCGCCATTTCTGCTCCCCTTTTCACTCTCTCTCTCGCCATTTCTGCTCCCCTTTGCTCTCTTTCTTACACCATTTCTGCTCCCCTTTGCTCTCTTTCTTACACCATTTCTGCTCCCCTTTGCTCTCTTTCTTACACCATTTCTGCTCCCCTTTTCTCTCTTTCTTACACCATTTCTGCTCCCTTTTTTCTCTTTCTTACACCATTTCTGCTCCCCTTTGCTCTCTTTCTTACACCATTTCTGCTCCCCTTTGCTCTCTTTCTTACACCATTTCTGCTCCCCTTTCTCTTTCTGCTTTCTTACACCATTTCTGCTCCCCTTTGCTCTCTTTCTTACCCATTTCTGCTCCCCTTGCTCTCTTTTCTTTTACCATTTCTCCCCCTTTGCTCTCTTTTTTACCATTTCTGCTCCCCTTTTTCTTTCTCCCCCCCTTTGCTCTCTTTCTTACACCATTTCTGCTCCCCTTTGCTCTCTTTCTTACACCATTTCTGCTCCCCTTTGCTCTCTTTCTTACACCATTTCTGCTCCCCTTTGCTCTCTTTCTTACACCATTTCTGCTCCCCTTTGCTCTCTTTCTTACACCATTTCTGCTCCCCCTTTGCTCTCTTTCTTACACCATTTGCTTTGCTCTCTTTCTTACACCATTTCTGATCCCCTTTGCTCTCTTTCTTACACCATTTCTGATCCCCTTTGCTCTCTTTCTTACACCATTTCTGATCCCCTTTGCTCTCTTTCTTACACCATTTCTGATCCCCTTTGCTCTCTTTCTTACACCATTTCTGATCCCCTTTGCTCTCTCTCACCATCTCTGCTCTTTTTTTCTCTTTTCTTTCTTTCGATGATTTGCTCCTTGGCTGGACATAAGAAAAACATCCAATGAAGCCAGAGTAAATGGTTTTTATCAAGACAAAACAAAAAGTGATATTGCCAATTTCTCATAGACCAATAAACTGTTGCAGAATCTCCAAAGTGAAACAAGTTGTCTTCAGTTTAAGTTTGTCTTTCTGGAACAGACTACAGAACCACATAATGGATTGTAAATGCTCTCTAGATCTATTGTTTGTTTCATGTTTTTTTTGTTTTTTTTTTAAAAGGAATGCATCAATGTGCCAACAGTTGCTTTTGAAAAATGTGGGGGAAAAACAATATATCTCGGGAGTCTTCAAAACAAACAGGCATCCATTTTTAAAAATCACTAAGCATGAAACAGGCTGTTAATAGGTAAATAAATCAGAAATGTTATTTTTTATATGTATTAAATTGCTTTCAAATTTATTAAACATAAAGCACTACTATATATATATATATATATATATATAAATTCCTTTTTCATTTTGCAGGGGACTTGTCAGTACTCTGTCTTATATATATATATATATATATATATATAAATCCCATTAAATTACTGAAGATGATGTTTACTGTAGTAAATAGTATCAATGTTAATCAATGATTTTTGCACAGAAATACAATCCAAATGAAAAGAGATTTGTTTGCTATATTATTGGATGTTATACTGAGGATTGATCTTGATAGAATTAACTTGTTAAGGCCAGAAAAATTCATTGCCTTCACGTAACAGACAAGAAGGAAGTAGGATGATAATCTATAAAAGAAAAAAATTCTCTGTCAGAATTATATAATAAGGTGTCCTGAAATCATAATGTTGCCTTCCGAAGTTGGGGTTGTCTATCATTTCTCCTGAAACTATTTTCCATTTTCTTTACTCAATAGACTATGATCATTAACATCATCGTTACCTTTTTTTAATATTTGTTACCATCTTTCTGTCTTTTTCAATTAGTTGGCTTATGGCCATATAACATTGAAACACTGGTTCTTATACGATCACCGAAGTTAAGCCACGTTGAATACCTAAATGGATAACCGCTTGGTAATACCTGTAAGCTTAGATGTACAGGTGGTGTAATGGATAACTGCTCAGAAGTGGAAATTGGAGAGCCATGTTCCCATTTCAGCTGACTTTCTATAGCACTTAACTATCTTTGACATCACCATTTATTTGTATATATATATATATATATATATATATATATATTTTTATATATTATTTATATGATTATTATTTTTTAATTATTTTATAAAAAAAAATATGATTCCATCACAACATAGAAATTACTGTGTTTCAAAACATGACTCAAGACCTAAAATTTAATTTCAATATTGAAGTGCATTTTCATTCTCAAGTTTAGAATGGGAATGTCGCAATGGAATCATATTTAAAAAAAAAAAAAAAAATTATTATAATTTAAGCTCTATTTCTGTATTGAGCACTGTTTTTTTAGAACTAAAAACATAAATACTAAAGAACTTTGGATCATTAATCTAACTGTTCTTTCCTATTACATCCACACACACACACACACACATATATATTATTTTGCATGCAAGTCCATGAAAGAAGTAGTGACACAAGGTTTGAAGATAGCCTGAGGCATGAAAATGACAATCATTTAGGTTGATTCCAATCTCTGCATTGTCAACATCTAAAAAACATTATCTCTGTAAGCATGCTTCCCTATAAATATGTCAAATTTTAAACTCACTGTGTATGTATATGTATATCTAATTTGTGTGTGCAATATAAAAGGGGAAAATTGGTGCATTGGATGCTCTCAACTGTTTATTTATAATATATTATTAATCATAACATTTTAAGTTGCTTTGGCTGATGTATTTTATTTTTATTTTTTGCAGGTGAGTGGACTCTGGTGCATTTTGATCCTTTTTTGTTGAAGCTGCACTTTTATCAGGTTTGTTGATTTATTGTTGAGGTTAGAAAAATAATTTCAAAGAGTGACATTGGCAATTTAAATTGTGGACACTTTGATTTCTTCTTTTCATCGCTTGCACGTCACTGGATGACACAGTTGTGCATAGTGACAGTTCCATCTATGCAAATAGAAAAAAGGATGAGAATTTGAGTTTAATCAGTTTGATTATTTCAGGTGGTGGTAGGGGGGAAATATATAGTTTCTTTTTCTCTGGTGGGAAAGATAGGTATATTTATGTAATCTTCCTAGGAATAGTTTGACCAATGTTGCATGATGCACCAGTTTTTTTCTTTCTTTTCTTTTCTTTTCTTTTCTTTTCTTTTCTTTCTTTTCTCTTCTCTTTCTTTTCTCTTCTCTTTCTTTTCTCTTCTCTTTCTTTTCTCTTCTCTTTCTTTTCTCTTCTCTTTCTTTTCTCTTCTCTTTCTTTTCACTTCTCTTCTCTTCTTTTCTCTTCTCTTCTCTTCTTTTCATCTCTTCTCTCTATCTCTTCTCTCTATCTCTTCTCTTTCTCTCTTCTCTCTATCTCTTCTCTCTATCTCTTCTCTCTATCTCTTCTCTCTATCTCTTCTCTCTATCTCTTCTCTCTATCTCTTCTCTCTATCTCTTCTCTCTATCTCTTCTCTCTATCTCTTCTCTCTATCTCTTCTCTCTATCTTCTTCTCTCTCTCTCTCTTCTCTCTATCTCTTCTCTCTATCTCTTCTCTCCCCCTCTTCTCTCTCTCTCTTCTCTCTATCTCTTCTCTCTATCTCTTCTCTCTCTCTCTCTTCTCTCTATCTCTTCTCTCTATCTCTTCTCTCTATCTCTTCTCTCTATCTCTTTCTCTCTATCTCTTTCTCTCTTTATCTTTTCTCTCTCTCTTTCTTTCTCTCTTTCTCTTTAGAGGGAAAACGGCTTGAAAATAGTTGGAACTACTTTTACTATTGCAACTTTTCTTGCACAATATGAAAAATGAGTTTTTCTCTGTAGTTTGGAAGCGAAATGACAATTTAAAAAAGTAAATACTAGTTTATATGGAAAAACCAACTGCAAATTCTCTAAACCCCAAAAAACAACATTTACATTTACACAGTACTGAGATGATTGCAGGGAAATGCGTCATCAATATTTAAAGGGTATGTATGTTTTGGGGGCAGGTCTATGCAATGTTTTTGGCGCCCCCAAAGAACTGCAATAATATGTGTAACACACAACTATTGAGCTTATTTCAAGCTTTTCACAGTAGACAAAGAACCTTGGTCTGAGGCAGAGAAAAGGAGGGTGTAATGGGGAAGGTAATGTTGGGTGTTGATGTATTATCTCCCCTGGTTATTATTTGTTGACTGTAATGGGGTTGATATTAATGATAGAATTTAAAATGCATAAACGTACAACGATAATAATGAAAAGTTGAGACACATGTTGACATAAATAACAAAAATTTGTATTTTCTTTTTGTGATGTGAATTACAGAATATTGTTCTGGTATGTGTAAAAATGTTCTCAGTGTCTCTTTTGTTTAAAAGTCAATGCTTACTTGGTTTGGTTCTGAGAATTTCGTTTGTGAGGATGTTTGAAATTGGCTGTTTTCGATCTTTCCAAAGTGCTTGCAGATATGTATTTCTGTACTGCTACTTGTTTACTGGTCCCTTCACCTGGTGGAAAGGTCACTTTTATAATCACAAGGGTTAGGATGATGACATATCCGTCTTTTCTATCATCACTGATGACAAGGTTATTTTTAGCATGATGGAATATCCTTATTTTTTTATCATCACTGATGGCAATGTTATTTTTAGAATGATGGAATATCATTATCATTCTGAACCATAACAAGGATCTTTTTGTGGGATCTAAGAACAGTCAAAGAATTTCAAATACAAGAACTAGCAAACTCAAATCATATGTTTCAAACCCTCCCACCGCCAATGTGCTTATTTAGTATAGCTTTTTAAATAATCTTCTCTACAGCGCAAGAATTTTGTTTGATATTTATTAAATTTATATAAAAAAGTTATTACCTGAAAGTTTATTTTATGAGTTCGGGAAAAATGTCCAATTTTAGAATCAACCTTTATTCCTGAATTAATGTATATGAATGGTGTTTAAATTGGTCAAAATAAGAACCATGAATATCTTTACATTTCTGCCATCGTCTTGCAAGGTTGCTTATGCCTTTATGATAAAACACTAAAGGTCTGGATGCCAAGAAATTCTTGAATGTATTTTCTGCATCCTCTTTAAAGGGAATATCTTTCAGCTTGAAAAATTGTCAAGATGCTTGAAAAAGTGGTTGCCAGTGGGCAGTAGATCAGGTGAATATGGCAGATGTTACAAAGTCTCATATCCTAAGTCGGTAAGCTTCTGCTGTGTCATTCTGGCAATATGTGGCCCAGCATTGTCATAAAGGAAAAATTGGACCTTGTTGGTTAACCAGTTCAGGTCACATTTTGCTTAACTTAATGTGCATTTCATCCAGATGCTGGTAATTAGATATTATTTTTGTGAGATATCTGGCAGAAGGGTAGAGAAGGGATAGAGGTGGACTCATGCCTTTTCTAAGAGCATGAATAGAAAAGAAACATAAGTATCTTTATATTGAAATCCAAACGGGATTGTTAATTTCATTTCCTGGCTGAATAACAGAAAAAGGAAAAAAAAGTTTTTATGTCTTTTTTTTTTTTTTTTTTATAAACCTTCACACTCACCCCCCCCCCGCCCCCCAACTTCAGGTAGGACTTGTGGTGTGTCATTCCAGAAGCAGCCTCACATATTGGGGTCTTCTGTTAGTATAACTGGCCAGATTGTACCCCTCACTAGTTTACTAGGCCTGTCATGTACCTCACAGCATGTGGCAATCACTTGAGTACTGATGTTGCTTAACTTCAATGATCAGAAAAGAACCTGTACCTCAGTGTGATATGGCAGTAAGTGACCATCAAAGAAATTTAAGATATAAGGGGCTAAAAATGACCCTGAAAAAAAAAATTGGGTGCTGAAAAGTTCTTGGCCTGACCGACTTCGTAGATTTGACATTTGTGTGCATGTGTTCTATAAGTCCTTTCTTTCAGCATTCATTTCTGCTTGTGTAAAATTACTATATATAATAATTGTTCTGGTCACTGGTACAGTGATGCCCTGGAAAACAAATTGTGTTTACATAAGATCTGTAGTATGCCCAAGTTCAGGGTTAAAATGTTCCAAACCTGAACCATACATGTGTCACACAAGACTGAAGTTGACTGATTCCTGGGATTGCCACAAACAGGAAGAAAACCAGAATACCTGAACAAGAATTTAGCAAAATATAGTTCTTGCTGTTAATTACTGAACTAGAATCTACCTTTCCATAATTCCAATGCTTGACTGCAGTTGACAGTAGTACATATTAGACTGCTGCTCGGATTTACCTTTTTCACTCCAACTGACCTTCCTCTTCTCTCTGAGTCGCCTATATATATATATATATATATATATATATATAGCATTTTTTCATTAATTCATATTTCATTAAATAATATAGACAAGTTTTGTCTATTTATTTTAAGTAAATTCCTTTCATATTGTTGAATAAGCTTTTTAGCATTGTCACTGAAACATGAAAGAAAATCATTATGTTGATTTTATGTTTTTATTGTTAATCCATGCAAACAAAACAAACTATTATTGTTGCAATGTCTGCATAACCATTCCAAAACAAAAAAATTACCATCTTTGTTATTTAATTTATTATTTAATTCATTGTAATGTACTTGTAATCTCTGATGATAGCTTATATAAGCTTAAAGCTTAGACAGGAAAATGAGAATCGTCTGTAGATTAAATAAAGGTTCTAGTTCAGAATTCCCTGTAGGTTACCCAGATCTATATACACCTGATGAAGTTCACAACAGCCGCCGAAACATTGGGATAACAATAAAGATGAGGACAATAGTCTCAATGTCAATAGTATAAATAAGTCTATTTTTAATAGCATATCTTCAAATTACTATTTCATCTGCATAAAAACAGTAAAACCTGAAAGTTTGGAAAGTAAGTCAACCAAATGTTTCAATGCATTAGCTTTATTTCCAATGCAAAAAATTCATGCTGAACACACTTTGAAATATTTGTGTGTCAAAATTGTAAAGCACGTGTACTGGAAGGCTAAAGCAAGACAATACATAATTTTTCTGAGATTAGAAAAATAATCATGTTAGCAATTATAAAACTTATCTTTAGAATCATACTTATTATAAAACCCAGGTTGTGTGTGTGTGTGTGTCTGTATGTTTATATATTGGATCGGATTTCCTACATTTTTCAACCGATTTCAACAAAACTTCACAGAACTACGTGAAATTACCTTGCGGTGGTTCTGATAGCACCAAAAATTGGAAAAACACAATTGTTTTTGCACAAAATCAATTTGAAAACACGATTAAGAGGCATCGCGAGAATGAAAGGGGGACAACTCATAGTGTTATACTTATTATAAAACCCAGGTTGTTTGTGTGTGTGTTCGTTTATATATGGGATCGGATTTCCTACATTTTTCAACCGATTTCAACAAAACTTCCCTTTTTTTTTTTTTTTTTTTTTTTTTTTTTTTTGGCAGGTAGTGTTTCTTATTGTTTTGCACACTTTTTTCTTTATTTTTACATTCAGAATGCTTTAAAAATTCCATTTACAAGACAATTGTTCATAATAAAATTCTATTCAATCGGTAGACTCATAACGATTGAAAACAATTTTTTTGTCCAATTCGTAAAAAACAAACAAACTAAGACCTGCATGTCCGTCAACCTTAAACAATAATCTTTGTCAATTTTATTTTTTTGATGGTCGATACTTGATCTATCTCTTACTGTTACATCCCTGGGCAACGCTGGGCTCTACTGCTAGTAATTCAATAAAATTCAAATTCAGTAGAGCCCAGCGTTGCTAGTAGAGCAGGGTTTGGGAGTGACAGAGACAAAAGTTATTAAGAGCTACAAAGGAAAGGAAATTATGGAGAGCCATGATCACCAACATCCCTAAGGGACATCACATAAAGTTAAAAACAGTTTAAACAATTTGCTAACAGATAAAGCAAAAAATAAATGGTTTAAAAATTAACAAACATATTTGTAAGAAATATCATTATGCAAATGCTGGTAAGTTTATGCTTTCAAGAAAGCATTGAATAGAATTTGTCAAACTCAAGTTAATGTTAATTAAATTGATTCTGACCAAGCATAATAAAATATATGTAATCTACATTGAAAGACAGATTGTCAAATTCAGAATTTAATGAGACATATATGAATTGAAATTAATAATGTACACAAATGCAAACTGTTACATAAACACACTCCTAGAATTTAGACAGACGTCATGTTGAGAGAAAAACACACACATATAGTAGGAATACAAAATTTAATTAAATTATAAAAATGAACATGTTGAAAAAAGAAGATATTGATAATATCAAAACAGGATGAACAAAAAAAGTAGCTAAACCAATTTACTGGTCTTCTCTGATGAGAGCTAAACTGGTTTATCGGCTCTCTTTCATTACAGCTCAGTTGAGGATGTGACCTGTACCTAGTGACTAAAATGCACACTGAAGATTGAGTGTTATATAAAATACAGAACCATTACATTTAAGGCTAACATACAATCTTTCTGTTTACAAAGAGATGGCTGGTTGGACTTAATGTAATTTGATTCCAACATCTTCAGAATTAACTTTCCTCAGTACTGAGAGAGTCTTGGTTGTAAGACTGGGTCCTGTTACCAGTTTTTTTAACAAATATTCAGCTATCAATGAACCAGTTGCATGTACAACTTGCCCTTAATAATATTAGCTGATAGGTGCTGGTTTACCTCTAACCTTTGACTCATTCTACTTACATTGTCAGTGTTATGCTATTTTATTTTTGT